TTCAGCTGTATCTTTTTCTATCTCACCCAGTGTTGTCCGTCCACAAACATCCATTCTCTCCTTGTTTTTGTTTATTTTCCAAATCTGTGACCTTCTCCTCAGGAGACCATGAATAATAAGACAGGAGAGGGGATCAGCAATGCAACCAAATGGAAAAAGAAACAGCCCTGCCCTGCTTAGTTCCTCTGTGAAAGGCCCAGGAATGAAACAAAAGCAAAAAATAATAACTCAAATGAACTCACATTAGCAGGCATTGTTTTAAGAAACTAATAAGACTAGATACAAGCTAGAAGCATTATAAATGTAAGAACCTAAAATATGTTCAGTAATCACACACAGGAAGGTGGAGCACTGGAGCTGGCCAGTGTTCAAGCTGAGCAGCCAAACCTTGGAGTTTTTTCAGCTGCAGTGTGATTCTACTATCTAAAATATCTAATTGACAAAAACAGCTCAAATTTATTCATCTGTAAAGTTAAGTCAAAACGCAGGCTGCACACGTCCCCTTAATGAAATAACATTCAGTAAAGCAGGACCTAAAAGCTGTCAGGAGACAAACTATATAATGATTAAAGAAGACAGACAACATTTTTTGTAAATTGTCATTCGCAGTATACGATGTAGGACAAGTTTGACTATAAAAAAAAAACAGGACTAAAACAAAATCATGAGAGCAGCTGTTCATTTTACTCCGTTATCGACCGTAAAACGTTTCAGTGAAAGGTTTAGGTGCGTTTGAGTACGTTGCTATAAGCTAACACAAGCTAACTGACTGAGCCTGCCGACCAGGAGACACATCTGGACGCCACCAAAACGCCCAGCATTCTCCTCACATACAAGCGTTAGCTTTGGCATCACTGGGCCTGTGTTTAAATGTTGCGACACATAATAGTTTATTGGTACTCACGGCAGAGCTAAACATCAGACTCCTCTCCAAAGATGTTGTTGTTGTAATGACGGGTTTTTCCGCTGACAGCCAGGGGTCGTCGCTGTCACAAGGCCCAGCTCTAAGCGCTCTGTCGTCACCTACTGGTTATTTGGTGTTACTACACATCACATTGTACCTTTTCGTCCATATTTTCCCAAGAGAGTTCAACAGTGTTATTTTGGCAACCACTTAAGTTATATTCCACTCTATACTGCAGCAGAGACTGCTTGTGATGTCATCAGCTCAGTGGTTACTAAGCTACAGACACAGTACCCTAGTGAGTCATATCTGGTGATTTTAATCATGTCTCCAGGGCCGGTCCAAGGCATAAGCAGCTGCTTAGTGCCCCAGGACCATTAGGGGACCCCCTAAGTGAAATTTAATTTTTATTTTTTTTAATGATTTCTATACGATTCCATTTAATATTTTAAGTTCAGCTTTTGCAAATTGTTGCATACATTTACATCGTTTTAAGAACTAATTATTCAACTTTAAATTTCCGTATTAAACCATTTGACGTGGTTTCAAGTAATTGTTCATTTACATTATTTAATTATTTCCTTGATATTTTATTTTATTTTTGTCTGTTTTTGCACAATTTATCTTATGCATCTAAGTTTCATCTGTTTGTTGTTGATCTTGCACTACAAATTATTTTGAACATGACTGTTGCAGTTCTTTGGAACCAAGGATAAAAAAAAACAGATGACACTTTTGCTGTAAAATACATTGCATACTGGTGGTTTTTTTTTTTTTTTTTTTTTTGTTACTTTTAGTACCACTAGATTGCATGTGTAAAACTCAAGGCCTGTGGGCCAAATCTGGCTCACTAACCATTTCTGTGGCTCTGAGTGCTTAGTGTATATTTAGTTGATATTTTTCTTAGTTCATATCTTAGATGTTATTACTGTTTTTCTTATACATTTTATTGTTGGATGTAACTGGGACCCTGTGTACAGAATTTCGCTCCACCACATGTACCACATGAGGTGCGAATGACAATAAAGAAACTCTGACTCTGACTCTGACTACACCCTAGGTTGTTTGTCCACGAGGTCCTCCGTGTCTACTACGACCGACTGGTGGATGACAAAGATAGAGCATGGCTCTTTAAACTGATGAACAGCATCCTCAAAGATCATTTCAAATAGTCCTTTGAGCAGGTCTTTGATCACATATAGGATAATGTAAACAGAGCTGTCAGAGTTGCAATGAGTTTATGTTTGGTGGGTGAATGATCAGATCATCTGACTGATTATTGCAATCCACATTATTAGCAGAAATAGAGGGCCCCAAACCAAATTTTGCTTAGGGCCACATGGAGGCTTGGGCTGGCACTGTGTCTCACTCTCTGCTGCACTTCTGACATTCCAACAGTTTGTCAGCTGCACAACTGGTGAAAACAAAACACTGGTGTTGTATGTAAATGTCAAGGATCCATAAATCATTAAAGCAAGACCCCCTCTTAGCAAATCAGATCACAATCTAATCTAGTTTCTCTGCTCAGAATATATACACTGGCTTGTGCTACCTACTAGTGGCTGGTTTCTAAATCCCTTGTTCAGAGACAACCTGTAATAAAGAGAACAGTGAGAAAATGGTCAACGGAAGCTAAAAAAGCCCTGCAGGGTTATTTTGAGGTTACAGACTGTGCCAGCCACATGGAGAGGACATCAATGCCACAGCTGAGTGTGACCAACTTCTATTAACTTTTGTGTCAACACCATCCCAACCAGAACAGTGAGAGGCTTCCCCAATTACAAACCCTGGCTCACCAGTGACCTGAAGGAACTGCTAAACCAGAAAAACAGAGCCTTCAGGGAGGGAGACAGAGAATTATTGAGGAGCACACAGAAGCAACTAAAAGTCAAGACAAGAAACAGCAAGGAGGTGTACAAGAAGACCGCTGTAAAGTTAGTTTTACGTTGGACATTAAACTAACTTTATTGCAGTTACAAGAAGAAGCTGGAGAGCAAGCTCCAGCAGAACAATATCAGAGAGGTGTGATCAGGGATGAAAAAGATCACAGGCTTCAAGCAGGAGGAGGATCAGAAGGATGGAAGCCTGGACAGTCATGAACTGAACACGTTCTTTAATAGGTTCAGTTCAGGAACAAACTCAGCATCCTCCTCTCTTGCCCACAGCCAAACAGATAAACCACCCTCCTTTGACCCAAGGCTGTCACCCCTCAAATATTATATCTACCACCTCAGTCATGGACCCTTCTTCTTCTACATGTTGGTCTTCAACCAAATCAGAAGATGCTGATACCTCATTTGCCTCCACCCTCTGCGTCTCTAGAAGTCAGGTGAGGAAGCAGCTGGAGTAACTGAACCGGAATAAGGCTGCAGGTCCAGAAGGTGTCAGTCCCAGAGTCCTGAAGACCTGTGCAGAGCAGCTCTGTGGGGTTCTGCAGCACCTCTTCAACCTTAGCCTGACCCAGAAGGTTCCAGTGTTGTGGAAAACCTCCTGCCTTGTTCCAGTACCAAAGAAAGCTCACCCATCAGTCCTCAATGACTATAGACTTGTTGCCCTGACATTCCATGTCATGAAGGTCCTAGAGAGACTTCTGTTGGCCCACCTGACTAAATAAACAAGCACATATCAGGACCCACTGCAGTTTGCTTATCGGCGTGGACTTGGGAGTTGAAGATGCCATCATACACCTGCTTCAGCAAACCCACTGTCATCTAAAGCAGACAGCACTGAGAATCACGTTTGATTTCTCCAGTGCATTTAACAATTCAGTCTGATTTGCTTCATCAGAAACTCCAGATGACTCAGGTGGAGGTCTCAATGATTACCTGGATCAAAGACTACCTGAAAGACCAGTTTGTGAGACTGAAGGGTTGTGTGTCTCTTATCAGATTTTTTACTATTAATAGAAGTTATGAAGATTATTTGAGGACCCTCCAGCTGTTTCATGACCCACAGGAACCCAAACTTTGGCAACCACTGAGAATAAGCAACATTTATCACCTGTGCTAGCCAAAGTGACAGTGCTGGCTACAGAGCAAAAAGAATGAATATATTCATTTCTTTCTGCTGTAACTGTGTAAAAATGAGTCCATAAATTAACAGTCCCATCAAGTGAAATAGTATATAATCTCCTTAATTTTATCCTTAATCTTTTTTTTATATATACAATTACTTCTTCTAAAGCTTATAATTTTTCATTCAAGAGAACTTCAACATTGTTTAGTCTCAAGAATAATGAATAAAATACTGTTTGTTGTTTATCATTATGTTGCTTGTTTTGAGCCCTAGGTGTCAGATGGTGATCACACAAGGGTCACTGCACCCTCGTGTGTTGAGAAACTTCAGGCCAGTGATTTGCAAACGTCCAACTGACATGATACAGGTAAAGAGACAAATAAAAATCTACTAACTACACCTCTCAGTAAAAATACAGTATATTAAATAAGTGTTACCTGAAACCGACGGCTTTCATAATATATATATAAAAAAAAATGAAATGCCCAAAAGGCACAACCTTAAATCATCACATTTTCATTGAATACAAAGTAATGATTTATTAGTTAAGCAGGAACACTCAGCCATTGTAGAAAAAGATCCATACAGTGAGCAGACTAAAATTGCCTTCTTCATATCACATATGAAAAATCTTGATTTATTGACAAGTAAATTATATGCAGCTTACACATTTTATAAAACAAGACATTTCACATGGATGTACAAAATAATACAATTCATATTATACAAAGACAAGCCCTGCACAGTTCCTTCAAAGTAAACAGATGTAGGATGTTTGCAATGGAAAGCTAGTCTTTGTATGTGAAGGACGATATTATAGACTTATAAATGTCATGAGGCATTAAGGTAATTCTTGTTCTTCCCAACAGGCAATAAGTTACATAAAGATGTATTACATTTCATAATGTAGGTATCTGAAACGAACCCAGTAAAATTGTCTGAAATCTAAACTTAAAACCTCAGGTTTATGAAAACAGTGATTTAAAGCAGAACCTTTAAAACCTAACAAAACTATGATAATTTCACAAATGACTTATTTTGTTAATTTTTTTTTATGTTTTTGTTTTTTATTACTTTGCATTATTTTAATAAATTTATTGTACATTTTTTACACGTTTGTACATGCCTTGTGTTTCAGATCTTTTCCACAGAACCTGTTAATCTGCATTTTAGGTCCAGCCCTGCCTTTGTGGGTTCTCCAAGACCTCATCATAAAGCCAGCTTTGTGTGAACTCCTGACTCTTGTCCATCAACTGGAACAGGCGAAGATACTCATCTGGGTATACGTTTCCTGTAAGTATGTCCTCTGGCAGGCCCAACTCTGATAACAATTTACTCCCACTATCAGGAGCCCAGAGACTAGAAAAACACACACAAGAGAAACAATAAGCAAGGTGAAAGGAAAGGATGAAATCACATTAATGTCATCTTAAATATCCTGTGGTTTACCCAAGACTAGAGCTGGGCGATATATTGATATTTTTAAAATATTGATATATGTTTGGGGTTTTTCCTGATATAAGTTGAGACTAGGGGTGGGCGATATGGCTCAAATATAATATTGTGATATTTCAGAGCATTCTGACGATAACGATAAATTTTGTGATATAACAAAAAAACAAAAAAAACAAAACAGAAATCATAGTTATTCATTTGACAAAATTAACGTAACATGTTGCTTTGCTGTATTATATAAAAACTAAAAAAAAACAAGGGTTAATTTGACTGAAATTACTTTATTTAGTAAAAGTATTCAGTCTATATACAAGTAGAAAAATAAGATTGATCCTTGTGTTATTTAGATTGAATAAGTCTGCACAAAATATAGATCAATAAATCCACCACAAAAACTAAAATGCAGGTGAAGTTTCCCAAAATAACTAAATAAAATGAAGCTTAAGATCTGTTGAGCATAAATGTAACATCAAAATATGTGTTGCCTTTAAATGAGCTATAACTTCCAGAACTTGTAACAAGGTGATCAGCTGACCCTGAAGCTTGTGGTGTTTCAGCTTCCTCTGTTCCTGCAGGAACGATTCATTCGATTCATTTCCCTGATGCTCTGTCTTTCATCACCCGACTCTGTTCTTGGTCCATGGACTGTGGAACTGAGACAGACCTGCGCATGTTTGTACTGGCAGTTTAGAGCGGGGGAGACCCGCACCGGCAGCTCAGGGGGGGGAGAGACGAGCTGCGTTTGTACCGGCAGCTCAGAGCGGGGTGTGGAGGGAGAGACAGCTCGAGCTGTCTGTACCTGCCGTTTAGAGCTGGGTGGAGAGAAAGCTGAGCCGCGCGTTGTTTTTAGCTTTTTAGCTAGCTAGTATTGAGCGCAACTAATTTAGTGTTACACTAGTACAGACAGGTGGAGGGGGGGTGCGCAGTTCGGTTTGGTCGTTCGGCGCACTCGGTTCTGTTAACGGGGCGGGGCGCTTGACGTATTACGTCATGAAATTAGCATATAATGATACCATTTTTTTTGCCTGGGCAAGCTTTTTTTTACCGGTATTATCGTGAACGATATGATATGGCCCAGCCCTAGTTGAGACTATATCAATATAAAACAAATACTTGGAAATCCTCCTGCTGTTTCTTTCTCCCACGTGCCCCCCCCCCCCCCATTCCTCCTTGAAAACAAACCCAGCCCCTCAGCCGCACTCCCCCCTTCCTGCTTCTCCAGGAGGTGGGCAGGCAGGAGAGGAGACGTTTAGCACACGTAAACACGGAAGATAATATGAAGAGCAGCTTAGCTGCTGAACAAAATGAAAAACAATAGCTGTTCTTTTGGAGATGGTTTTGATTTAAATTGTCAGATGAGGGGCAGTAAGATGATTTCTGTAGACAATGCTGAAAACAAGTCCCGACGAAAGGTCGGAACTACGAATCTTCTTCACCATTTAAAACAGCGGAGTGGAATATGAGAGTGTGTGAGGCTGCAGGGCCTCCTTCCCTGACAAAACAAAAAACACAGGCCAGAAGTCATTTAGCCGTGCTGTGCCTTTTGAGAGGTACAGAGGTGGCAACATTAATAAATCAATAGCTTATCATATCCATAAGACACGGTCTTAAGCAGCTAACAAGACGGTTAGCCATCTTGTTCCACAGCTGAGGCCCATGTCTTAGCGAAATGATAAGCTGCTGATTTATTAATGTTGCCACCTCTCTGTGCCTCAGCTGCCCCCAGCTGAAGAGGATTATTACTTAATATATAAAAATAATGTCTAAAAAATAAACTATTTAATATATGTAAAGTTTATTTTTTAGACATTTATTTTGTACAGTTACAGCTGTTGTTAATAAATGTGCCAGCTTTGACTCAGAAATAGATTTTTGTTATTATTTTATGGAAAGACAAAAAAATATTGAGATATCTAACGTATATCGCGATTTACCTTAAAAATATTGAGATATTAATTTAGGTCCATATCGCCCAGCCCTACTCTAGACTTCATGAGTGTTCAACCAAGAGCAGCACTTTGATGAAGCATGTGTACAGTGTGTAGGCTCCATGTCCGTCAGAAGTTTTCTTTTGTGTAAACTGCTTACTTGAGTTTGTCAATGAGCTTGATCTTCCTCCTCACCAAGCACTGTTTGATCATCATCAGCAGGGTGGAAGCATTAGAGGGATTTAGGTTTGCAGAGAACAGGTCTGCCCGAGGACGCATTCGCACCAGGCACATGTGATTATTTGAAAGCTGAGGGGAGATGTTTAAATACTTAGTAAACACAAATTGTGTTTAAACTGACATTACCGAGCCTGCTCTTTGAATTACCTTCCTCTTCTTAGCACCAGACACCAGAAACGACTGCAAGGGTTCCTGCACAGAAATAAGACGGCTATGTTGCACTTGTGTAGGACCAAAGAAGGCAAAATCCTAAACATTCATTTTCTGGAGCTATCAAAAAACCTGATGCAGGTACTCTTCTCACCATCAACAAAGTCTAACCTAACTACTTCTAACAGATCTGAATAAACACTAAAGGTTCCTTATTTTCCTTCATTCCGTACCTTGTGTAGAAGTTCAATATCACAAGCCATCTGCCAGAGGATACCAAAGGCTCTGTAGGTTATCATGTTACCAGGAGGAGACACCATTTTCTAATAGAGAAACAACTTGGTTAACTATTTTACACAAGAGCCTGAGTAATGATGCATACAAGTAATCAAACTACCACAGCATCAGCTAATCAATCCACTGTTCTGTGAAAAATGAATAAAGTAATCGAGGGAAGACCACAGAAACCTTTAACTATAGCAACTAATAAATTGCAAAAACTGTTGGTTTAAAGCTGCCTGTATACAATAAAATGTGATGTAATATATTCCAACACACAAAAACAATTTGAATTAGCATAGTTGTTTTGTTTTTACCAAGTATTCCATCTCGTCAATAAAGAGGTTGAGCTCTATTCTTCCATATCTGTAAACAGATAATCGCTCAAACAAAGCATAAACCATCTTAAACAGGAAGCCACGCTTATTACGCTGGGGCAGGATTCCCACCACCTTCACTGGGACATCTGGAGGGATGCACAAATGAAAACAACAACAAACACAGACAATTTTAAAAACCTGACACACTACAACACAATACGCATAACTATTTGCATATAAATATGCTCAAGTGTAAAAAAACATTAAATTCCTTTCTTCAATTTATCTAAAAAGGGAGTTGAATTGCTCAAGTCTAAGATTACTAAGCCCAGAAATGTGTTCTGGGGAAAAATGGGGGTATAGGGGAGTAGTTCAGTCAAAAAGGCTCAAGTAAATGATAAAAGTCATTTAGTAAGTTAAAGTATAAACATGCATGATAGAAAATCTGCAACATTATAGATTTGGATTGTGGCTGTTTGTGTTTTCTTACCATCATCCCAAGCAGCTTCTGATATTCCCAAGTCAGTGAACAGTTTGTCAGCTAACATTGATGGAGGTTTCACAATGCCACTGCCGATGGGGTCAAGGCAAAAGAAGTTACAGTAAACCACTTCCAGCTGACCATCAAGATGTGCCTCCAGTCTCTACAACATAAGTGATAAAACAAAAAAAATGAGCAGCATGTATGACTAAAAAGTTGTTTTACACTTTAAAGGCATTTGTAGTACCTGCAGATTAGGCAAGAAGGTTCTGTCACCCTCAAGAGCTACAACTCTCTGAGCACCAGCATTTAGTAGTGTTCTTGTCAACACCCCAGGACCTAAACCCCCCCACAAAGAAATAAAAATGTCATGAGTATTTCACTGCCAAGGACACTAAACACACGCTCATAAATATTATTTGTGGTGCAGCTTCAGTAAATAAATAAAAAAAACACACCACACATTTTGTTAAGTTTGTCCAAAGCTGGATTACACAACAAATACAACGTACCTGGGTTACATTCGAAGATAACAGTTTTACTATTCTGTAGATCAGGTCCCAAATGCTGCGCTACCACATTAGCCAGATCTGGATCCACAATGAAGTGTCTGACTTTTTTACAAGCCTGAGCCTGACGAATATTATCCTCCAACTCCCCAAGATCCAGGTAGTCATAGTGGCACAAAGGATGAAACTGGCCCTGTGAAGAGACAGTAATTCTCAGTGAAAAGTGTTCTAGATAAAAACAATCTGCAAAAAAAAAAAAAAAAGATGTGCATAAATACATCAGGGTGGTTTCTATTTGTAAGAGACAACCTATTTTCACCTCCTTCAACCAGATTTCGCAGTTTGCCCATTGGACAACCAACTGAAACAGACACAGGGTAAAGTTCTCTGACAGATTTCCCTCATCTGTAAAAAATAAAACTATAAAATTTTGAACCATTCGAATTTGGGCTGGACGGTCCCAGATTGTGACCACCCTGTCCCACGCCCTGAATGAAGAGGGGCAGGACACCCAAATGCCCCGCATTTGACACGAGCTGACCGGGCTCACCTGTTCATGGCGTGTCTGTGTGGGAGGAGGGATAGAGCAGTTGTTTCATGGGCTTCCTGCAACAGCAGCTGTCAATTTGCCATAAATAAGGCACACTTAAAATCCTTTGAATTTTCTCAAAAATCAACAGTGAGCCTTATAATCCGGTGCACCCTATGTGTGAAAACAGACCCGTTCATTGATATTGCGCCTTATAGTCCGGAAAATATGGTATATTGGCTGTAAAGTACAAGTTCTCGGCTTTCAGAAACTGTTTTTTACTTATAGCACAAACTATTGCAAACTTACAGCAACGCAAAGTGAGCTTAAAAACAGTCATTGGCAAGAGTCTCGGAATAAAAGATAAAACATTTTGTTCTTAAAAGTTCAGGTATGTTTATTAATTGATTCATCTATCAACCATAATATATTAGGTAAAAAAATATTTGCTTATTAGATTAAATATTGATTGGGGGATTGTTTGTGTTTGTATGTGGGCTTGTATTGGTGGGTAATTTAAATGTCTAAAGATTTACAGTAAAAGTAAATAATCTAATCTTTATTTGGTGTGGACTTCATTACTGGACAAACAGTGAACTCAAGATTTGTAGACCCAGATGTGGTTTGTAGGGAAGCTTTGTTTGTCTACTTGTTCTATTTTATCTCCCTGCTACAGAGGATACTTGGTGATGGAAGTCCAAAAAAACAACAACAAAAAAAACATACGTTAATGCGTTCTGAGCGTCGTCATCATTGTACAAGCATGTGCAACTTGTGCACGTGACTACACTTCTGGTCTTCTAAAGGAGACCGAGTCGCTACGGGAGCACGCTCAGCCTGTTTGTGTCCCTCACAGTGAAAGGAGGCTGTGTCTGCTGCTTTATTTCTTCTAATTAAACAATAATAACACTATAAAAACTACAATGTATATGTCCCCAGGTTATAACAAAGATGTATGTCTCTGTTTAATATTCTCCCTAAACTCACATAGCTCTCTCTGTGAGTCAGTTTCAGGCATTTGTAGTTCATCATAAACGTCTGCAGAAGAATTCAATTCTACACAGTGTTTTAACAAACAACAACAATGTGTCTTGGCTGTTTGGATGAGCTAAACTTGATCATACTGGATTTAGAATCATACTGAGGGGGAACTGTACTGTGATAAATAAATCAAATATGAAAAATAAATAGTATTAAATTACTACATGATCTAAAATCCTATACTCCCTTTGAATGAAATAATCATTTTAGGGGCGAAATCTGATACACATGGCAACCCATCAGTTAAAACAATGAAATTACATAAACTACAGTTAAGTTGTTAAAACTCCTCCCTTCATTCAGAATGCTGTTGGTCTTGATGGTGTCGGTTAAAGCCTTCTTACAACTTCTATGCTTAATTAGAGAGCACTATACTGTGTACTTTTACTAAGGTCATGTACACAGTATACTCCTCTTTACTTTAGAGAAGTGACCTGTATGCAAAGCCTAATGATAAGGAAGAGGATGAGGAGGAGGAAGCTCCACTCGAGCAGCTCCTGAAAGAATCTGTCACTCAGGAGCTGGGTCCATTCCTTGTATCTGCACCAGAATTTAATCTTCTGCTCTAAACACCAAAGTCTATAAAGTTCATGTGAATTATGTATTCCTCACTGATGTGGAGAAATGAAACGACATTTCATTCAATTTTGCATGGTGCCACTGTACAATTTTGAATGATAAAGTTTATAAAGTAAAGTAAAAGTAAACTACATTTTTCTTGAGATTGTTTGGCCTTCTTTATTTTAAAGGTTGCAGACAAGCAAAAATGTTGGCAACCAGACACTGTCAAGATGTTGTCTACTGGACAACCTGGAATATTTAATGATGTCTACTAGGGGTGCACCGATTGCAGTTTTCTGGACGATTTCTAAAAAGTCTGACCTGCAGATTCCGATTTTGGCCGATACTGATTTTGTTTTATAAACGACACTGTCAGGAGTTATAAGGTCACAATGCACCTTCAAGTTTCCATTATTTCATTGAAAAACATACGCTGAACAATATCCTAGAAACAGTACAAACTTGTTTTAACTCGCCATGAGGTAGCGCTCTGAAATATAAATGAAGTTTACACAATTGTTAAAACAAACAAACAAACAAACAAACAAAAAATTTGGTAAAATCAGTTTCTCATGCAAGTATCGGACGATTTCCGATTTTCAAAATTATCGGGGCCGAAAAATCAGTGCACCCCTAATGTCTACCCTTGAATATACAAACCTTTCTGAAGAGGTACAGAACCTTTTTATAAATAAAAAAAGGAAAAAAAAAAAGACAAAATCAACTTTACGGTTTTCAAAGATTTTAGCAATGCACACACCATAGTCTGACACGTCAGTAGATTTAAGCCTTATTAGCTGTCAAAGTGTGCAATTTAATTTATTAGATGCTTCAACAATTTGTTTAGGGGCAAATGAAATTCAAAAACATTCCCAGTCTTTCTTTACTACTAAATTAAAATTCACACATTACAGTTTGGATTATTTTGGCAAAGCTCATTTGCAAATGATCATAGTCCCAACTCCTAATTTTACGCTCGCCACTGCTCAATTTCCTACTCCCAAATAAATTTACAGCTTTTAGTCTCGGTTTGTTTTCAGAAAAAAGAACTTTACCCTTTAGTTTTTAATCCTGATGTCTTTGATTCTACTGTTGTTCCTAAATTTGTTTACACAAAAGGGACTTTTTTTTTAAAAACCCAACTATCCATTGCGTGCCAAGAGTGTCAGAAGTGTACTTGCAATTGCTGGAATGTAAAGAAACGACTCATTGGCAACAAAGCATGATTATTTTGATTTTGCTAATTTATTACAAATCATGAGAGATTGACCAAAAACACTTATGGTAGTGAATGATGTGTATTGACAGGGTTATTTTTTTATCATAGATGATGCACACAAACAAAATATTTATAATTTTTAATAAATAAATAAAAAAAATGCTTATTTTGACAACTATTGTGGCTTTACAGCAGCAACAAAACTTTGCTAAGGCAGACATCTAGTTTGATGTAAAGGAGAATTTATCACCTAGCAAGTTTAATTTGTAAGCTATAAAATATATATATCAAATCCCTTTGCAGGTATACAAATTTGTAACAAATACCTCTTACAGGGTACATTAAAACATTATTATATAATATGCCAACCTGTTCTTATAGTCTGTGGTACAAAAGTTAAGAAAAACTTTAATCACTTTAATTGTCTGTCCAAACAGGTCTCACTTGTAAATGAATCTTTGAGGCTCAATGTGATTTATCTGTTTAAATAAAGGTTGAATGGATGAATGAAAAACCAATCTTTGGTCCAGTGTCTCCTATACTGGTAAATGGTATGAAGTATATTGGATGATCATGAACTTGTCAATCTCACGAAAATATGATGGTACTTTGTCAATGTCAGTCTGCATCAAAACTAAAACTCAGCATGAATATAAATATAGCAACACAGACAATACTATAGGAAAATCAAAAGAAACACAAAAGAAACTAATCACTGATTTAAAGTAGCTGGATATGTCGCAGTGTTTGCATACTCCTTTGAAAAATTGTGTTTTTAAAAAGCAAAGACAAGAAAAACCGCCTACCTGTACAGCTGCTGCAGACAGGTTTCTTTGGGCCAACGCTGACGTTCTCTCTGAACGAGGCAGTTGGGAACTTGGACCAAGTGAAGGCCGACCAGGACCCAAAGAGTCCATGCTGTAATATCTTCTATGAAGTCCAAGAATCCTAGGACCACAGCCCATAGGGACCATCACTGCCTTTGGTAAACAGCATCTACTTCTGATGGTGCAGCTGCAAGAATGCAGCATCAACTCCACCGCTTTACAAATGTGGGTGGACATGGTGAACTGGTACCTCTGGAAGAATTTAATGCCAAACGAAATTAGAAACCAACAAGAAAGAACAGTTGTGATGGCAATAATACACGTGGTTGTGACATGAATTACAAAACAAACTATAATTAAATTAAATACATTAATAATTCTCAAATTTTACACTCACTTGCTGGCTTAGTTGGTAAATAACTTAAAAAGCATTTAATACAAAACCTTTAGGTCAAGTATTACTGGCACGTTGCATTTGGAAGAATACGCCTCTTCTAACAATAATATTTTAACACAAAGTTGACTAGCCACATAAAGTGACTGCCCTTTACAGCGTCAGAATAAACACAGAAACCCTGAAATATGTATTTTGTTACCTAGGGTGATCGTGTCAAACGTGTACCTGTGCTAGCCATTAGCCACGTCTATATCACAAGAATACCGATTTTATCACAAAAAAGCAAACATACCTTTCTAGAGATGGTCGTGTATTTACAGGTCTAACAAAATAGGTCGTTAAAACCTCCCCTTGCGCCTGTAAATAACGAGATAACTAAGTGACATTGAGCCCATCACATCTTTACCCTCTACGTAGAAAACTTCTACAAATCTCGTGGTGCCTCGTGCGCATCTTATTGTCGTCATAGAACATGCGACGAAAAACTACAGGAAGTAGTTTGATTATCAACGCACAAAACAATGCAAAGGATAAAAGTCGCATTTTATTAGAACTTGAAGCTTCTGAAATGCTAATCAAAACCAGAAAATTTTAGTTACATTCAAATATTATGTAAAAAAAAAAAAAAGATAAAATTTTGACGTTAACGTCTGTTAGCACGTTAGCACCGTTATGCTACGGAAGCGGACAGCAGCGCTGTAAAAGGCGGACGCAGTCTGCGCAGTCAGCTCACTCAGTGTCTTTTTGACAAGAGAGGAGGAACCTTGTGAAGCTTGTCCTGGTCTCGGTGTCTGCTGGTACCATGGCGCGAGTAGAAACATCCTCTAGCAGGCCGTACCACCTGGTTATCTTCGGAGCCTCTGGATTCACGGGACAGTTTGTGGTGGAAGAGGTGGCCCGGACTATATCCGAAGATCCCAAAGGGAACTTGAAGTGGGCGGTGGCAGGCAGGAGCAGACACAAGCTGGAAAAAGTTCTGGAGCAAGCTGCTAGCGTCCTCGGTATGTATTTCATCAGTCCCTTTGTGCATATTGAAGTGGGTTGTTTTTACTGGAAAGGGTACATATTTTATTGCAGTTTATTCAGGTTATTATGCAGCAGAGTGAGAATATTTGGTCAGCCTTATCAGACTCCACGAATGCAATGTTTAACTCGCATTACAGATAATGAAGCAATCCAGTTGGGCTTGGGCAACCAGTTGGACATGACTTTAACCCTTGTCTAGTGTGCAGTACTTTAGAAAGCTCTTTGCACTCTGACTCTGTTTATTATTTTATGATATTGGCTCATATGCAAAAGTGCAGCAAAGAAAACAGCAGAATACAGCTCCCTTCCTTGTCTTCATTTATATTATTACAGCTCTGGACAGTGAGAGTTATTGTGCATCTCTGAATGACATGCTTATAAAAAAAAAGTTTTATAGTTTCCCCTGTAACTGTCTGTTATGGTCATTTTGAAAGCTTTATTGCTGTGGTGAAAATGCTATTAATTTGACTGTTAAAGTTTCCTGATTAGATGTGGCCGTTATCCATCGCTGTTGTGAGTTTGGATGACATCTGTTCATTGCAGTATATCAAAGACATATGTACTTTATTCACAAATTAAGTATTTAACGACCGTAGTCCATGTCTTGTATTCTGCGATAAGGAAAAAACACTATTGTCATAATCTTTGACTAAGTTGCATTCAGTTTTCATTTGCAGAAGAAGCTCATTTATATTATTTCATGAAGTAGTACTATGTAAAATATCCAAATTATTCATATCTATTGTAGTTTTCTTAAAGTTTAATGGTTATCCACTAAGCTCTGCCTATTAGCTGACTTTGCATGTATTCTAGACTCTAAGCTGCACTTTTCTACCGTTTAACACAGAACACAAACTGCGAAGTGAACTCAAACCAGAAATTCTTATTTATAAACTGATTTTTAAGACGGCACGTGGTCACTTTACTGAGGTCATTTTCATCTTATGTGATAGAAAATGTTTTATTTTGATATATTTTACTGTTTTTGTGATAATTGCAAATCATATGAGACTGTTCTCAAACCACTTGACCAGAAATTTGGTGAGTAGTTTATTTTTCCCCCTGTTCACACAAAAGCTAATATTTAGAGAGGAAAAATAAACCTAGTCTTCTGATCTGCCATCAGTTAAAAACAAAATTCATATTTTACATTATGTTCATTCAATTCATAGTTTTTTTTGTTTTTAAAATTTTTTCAAAAACTTATTGAACAGCTGATATCTTCCTCATATTTCATATTTATTCATCTTCCTGACAAAAGATTTGCAGTCATAAATTGTATTTAGACTTTTTTTGTTGTTGATTTTTAACTTCAAATACAAAAACTTAAATTGCAAACATTTTATAGGCCACTAATGTGCTGAAAAGTGCACATCTCTAAACATGGAAAAGTGAGTCCTTTTACTAGCTCTAGATCAGGGAGCTGCTGCTCGTAACAAAAGTTTCCAAAGGATTAGATCGTAACGCTCTCGTCTCCTCCTGTTTGGCTTTCTCTTCAGGGGGTGTACAACAGCTGATGGAACATACCAGCTCGCTGTTTAATCTCCGTCCAAAATGACGGCCACATTCTTACAGTCATCTAGTCCAGTTAACACGTTGAACACAAGTTCTCTCACTGAAACAAAAATGTCTTGTTTTTGAGATGCTTCAGATTGTGACATGTTTAAAATAACTCATACAAGGTCTTCTACAAGATCTTGCAAAGCCTTATCCAACTCATTTAGTCTTAACTCATCCAGTATCTGGGATCTCGAGTTGTTCCTCCATTTACTTTGTAATCATTTTCACATTTATACAAGACTAAATAAAATATGTCTATGCTGCCCTGTTGCTGTTGGGGGGAAGGTGTAAGTAATTTAGTTTTCCTGCGTGTCTGTTTTTATTGATTGAAACAGGCAATAAGTCAGTTTCTAACTTCAATTCTCACTTGTGCTTCAGTACATTTGTAATCCTGTTTAAAGCCCCCCCACCCACCCACCCATAGGCTTATAGATAAACATGTTTTGTCATTAGCGTACACCTGCAAATTTAAAATATCTAATGGATGGTTAAATTTTATGTAAATGTCTGTTGTCATTTGGACTTCAGAGGTAGGACCAGTAGGAGTGCAGCAGTGCACAATAATTATTAATGCATACATTAATGTGACACATTATGCCTGAATTAACAATTGAAAAGGCACTCATTTTAACCTCCTTCAATCAGAAATGATAGTTTATAGATATGAAGCTTAATCTGTGTTGGAAAGTAGCTAATTCTGATTTATGTGATTTAGGTTGCACAAAATGAATTGTAATTAGTTGCAGTTACTCAGTAAAACATTTTTTAGTTGGATTTATTTTCTGGTCACATTGTTAAAGATTACAGAGGGTTCTTTATACAGGACTTTGATTTACAGTTTTAAAAATATTACAAGCACATGTATTGTATCTTTTCAACAAGATTTTATTTTTATTTTTTTTTAGCGTTTCTCTAGACGGCAAGGTTGAAACGGCAAAATGTGAAAGTTAATCTGAATATCTTCAGTAGGCCTCAGGTTCTTGTAGTACGTGGTCATCTGAATGTGTTTTTTAATATTCACCTCTGGGTTCACTGACCGGCTCCTTCTTTTAGCTGCGATTTGTCTCCTCCGTAGTTGGTTAGGACAGGGTCTTTGTGGTTTATTTATTAGAAAATGAACATTCAAAATGGTATGGTAAATTGTTTTATTGCATGCTCTATAGGAATTAAAGGGTACATTTTAGTGAAATATTAGATTAGAGTTTAAACATTGAATACAGGAGAACCTGAACTGTTTGATGCCATATAGGTTGAAGAGCACCTGTATTGATGTGTTTTTTGTGCTTGCTTGTTTTTGTTTTCCGACAGGTAAACCCAACTTAAAAACCCAGGTGGATGTGATTGTTGCAGATGTTGGAGAACCCGACTCCCTAGCAGCCATGTGCAAGCAGGCTGTGATTGTTCTGAACTGTGTCGGGCCTGTAAGTAAACTATTCCATCAAATGTGTGTGTTTACATTTGCCACATAAAATTTATGTTTCGTGCCATAATGTATTTTTTCTTCCATCTTCTTATGTGGTTATTAAAATGCACACAGCAGCTTTCCTGGACAGACAAAACGTTGGCCTACATTTCATAATAAATTGTTTCATATTAGTTGTATTAGTGTATATTAAGAATACAACTTGCTCTGCTTCGTGAGTTTGTAGTAAAAACTGGCATAAAGGTGTACCAACAATCTGCCAGATACTGTGACTTTAAAGGGCAAATGGAGTACACATGAGGCCGATGAGCAGATCGGTTTAAATATAATTTCAGATTCCAATTATGTTAAAATGGAGACGTGTCCTCTTTGCAGTCAGCAATAAGCCATTTTGCCTTATTCAGTTTTGTCTAAACAGGAGTTAAGTTAAATTTATTGGGTATTTAACAAAATACAGTCATGTCTTCCTTCCTAAGGCAAAAATAAGGATGTTGGGAATAAAAGTTAAGTGTGGAATGGTCTGAATTAACTTGTTTCTGTATCTTTTTTTTTTTAATTTGTAGTACAGATTCTACGGTGAGCCGGTGGTCAAAGCCTGTGTGGAGAATGGAGCTCATCATATCGACATCTCTGGAGAGCCGCAGGTATTTATAGCTCTGTGAGATGCGTTATAAACTGTAATTGAAATGACAGGAGAGATCGTTGAGTTGAGCTAAAGTGATAATTTCCGCACCATATCATTCTGAAATAATTGAAGTTTCATAGTATTGTACGTTTTTACGTATTAAGCAAGTTGAATGATGTATTTTATTCCTGTAATTTAATGTGGTATTTCTGACTTTAATTAAATTGATAAATAAGGCCTGCATGCTGACAGTGGACATTGCCTGAATGTTTTCCTACAGAGGTCCTGGCATTCAGCTTTGAAACTGTGTGGATTAAGTTTTAGACATGCGTTTCATGCTGTATCCATTTTTAACAAAATTATCTCCTACTTTGCCACGTGACAGCAGCTGCTCTCCCTGTTGTCCGATTCTGGTTTGTGTGCAACATGTCAACCTGGTCAAAGTTTGTTTTGGCACAGTTTTGCTTCCTAAAAAGTAGAAAAAGAAACTCAAACTAGTTCATATTTTGCATCTCCTCAGGACAGCAGGGGCTTTTAGCTGCTGTCTTTGTTCCACTTAAAGGTTCAAGGTTCTTTATTGTCATTCGCATCACATGTGGTACATGAGGTGGAATGAAATTGTGTACTCAAGGTCCCAGTTACACCCAAAAATAGCAATAAAGTATAAAAAGAGAGTATACAAGAATCTGAGATATACACTAATAATGGAAAATAATATGGTATATTAATTATATTTAAACTAATTTGTAAAGCAGTAGTTGTTGTTTCATGCCGTTTTTCCATCTAGGAAAGAGTACATTTTTCTTCATATACACTTGAGTTTTTGTTTCTTTCTCTCTGTGTACAGTTTTTGGAGAGCATGCAGTTGAACTACAGCAGCCAGGCAGCTGAGAAAGGAGTCTACATCGTTGGGAGCTGTGGGTTTGACTCTATTCCTGCAGACATGGGAGTCCTCTACACCAGGGACCAGTTCAAAGGTATGCCCACATTCACTTTACATTTATTTAAAAGTTGGAGCTCAAAGACAGTCATTTGCCTGCATTAATTTATTATTGTTCAAAATACTGTGTGTTTGTCTACAGGTACCCTGACTGCCGTTGAGAGCTTCCTGACTGTCGGCTCAGGACCTGATGTATGTCACTACATTACACACAGACCATAAACGTTAACGTAATTCTTGAGCTTCCACACGTTTGCTTATGTTGCTCTTCATTTTTTGCAGTTATTGTTAATATTGACATAATTTTTCTCATCACATACCGGTACATGTATTTATTACCCTTCTAACATTTACCATTTATATCTATGGTCAGGGTGGATGTATCCATGATGGTACGTGGCAGTCAGCCATTTATGGTTTAGCTGACGGCCAGAAGCTGCAGAGTCTTCGCAAGAAGTTTAATCAAAAACCCCTCCCCGTTGTTGGCTCAAAGCTGAAACGCAGGTATATAAAGCAATACTTTTTATTTTCCTCGAAAAGACCACCTCAACATTTGTTAAAGCACATTTTCATTTTGTTTGCACAAAGACTTTCCTTTTATTTTTAGTTGGACCTACACAAACGCAAAACAACTGACATTTTTTCCCCTCAAATTTGCCAAAATCTTGTTTATAAATTAGAATTAAGTGCATTGTGTCTTTCAAAAAGATGTCAGGACTAAAATGATTCTACAGATGAGGATGAGTGTCATTTTAAATGGATGTATTAAATTTATCCGTCATGTCTTTTTTTGTGTGTGCATCTGTAGAGGCGCCCTGTTCTTCAGTAATGAGATCCAGCAGTACGCTCTACCCTTCATGGGTTCTGATCCGTCTGTTGTGAAAAGAACACAACGCTTCCTGGCAGAAGAACATCAGGCCACACCGGTTAGTGTAGGCCTATTGATTATGAAAATCACATTTATTTCTGCTGAACAAAGTATTTGTTGCTAGTTTGTGGCTTTTAATTGTAAAATAAGAACTTTTCAGTATTTGTAATGATGAATTCTTAAGTAATCGTTTCACGACTCTGTCATTTCACATCTTTTATATTTTTCTTCAGTTTTGTTTGTCAGATGAAGATGCTGTAACATGGATGCAGCGTGTCTTTTACCTCCTGCTAATTTCATTTCCAGGTCCAGTATGGAGCATATGCTGGAGTTGGAGGTGTTGGAAACGTCATCAAGTTGATGTTTGCTGGCATGATGTTCTGGCTCTTAGTCAAGTTCAGTTTTGGACGCAACCTGCTCATCAAGGTAAGCAACGCACCAGGTGTGATGTTTTTCAGTATACTACACACAAATTCAGTGTGAGTTCAAACTATCTGGTGCTCGTTTGTGCCTTTTTGTTTAGTTCCCAGAGTTCTTCTCATTTGGATTCTTCACGAAGGCTGGACCGACCAGAAAACAGGTGAAATAAGATAAAAAAATTAAAAAGTTAAAAGTACATGCATTGTTTTAAAATATATAAAACAAAACTTGTTTTTATACTTATTCATTCTGTCTGTTCCTGTTAGATGGAGGGTTCATCCTTCCAGTTTTCCTTCTATGGTGAGGGTTACACAGAGGACCAGGACCCCTCCCAGGGCAAACCAAATGCCAAGATCCGTACACTAGTTCAGGGACCAGGTACATTGATTAAAATGTTTTAGCGTTACCACAAATTTTAATACAAAAATCACTAACTTGTTCTTTAAAATTTGTTTTCTTTCTGTCATTATTAGAGTGTGGGTATGTGGCCACGCCCATCGCCATGGTACAGGCCGCTCTAACGATTCTCTACGAACCTGCAGCTTTGCCCAAGAAGTGAGTGACCCACAGATTGCAATACACTCAAACATAAAACACATTTTAATCCAATTTGTCACGTATACTGTCTTTGCTGATTTAAACACTTCTTATTGATTAGCAATCAAAACCCTAACCGTACCATAAAGGGTTAATCCTTTTTCCACCGCTGCATTTCTCCAACAGATGTCATCAACTTTTGCCAAAGAAATAAACTTTACAATGATTTGTGCATTTGTTGAAGCATTTATTTTGGTGTATAGTGCTTGGAAGTACATGAATAATAATTTTTTAAAAAGTACAAATATTTTCAGGCATCCTGATCCAAACTTAAAATTAATACAAGTAAACAAACTACACATTATTTTTATTAAAGCATTTTTCTTACAATAAAGTTTTCACTCATCATCTGATTTAATATTGAATACTTTAGTTTGCAACTAACTGCTTTTAATTTAATCTTTTTTTTTTGTTTGTTTTTTATCTTCACCTGTTTTTAGGGGAGGTGTATACACTCCAGGAGCTGTGTTTGCAAAGAGCACACTCGTCGACCGCCTCAATAAACACGGCATCCACTTTTCTGTCATCTAAAGTTTGTCCTCTTCCAGCTTCTGTATTTCAGGTTTTTGTGAGCACTAATGTATAAATGGGAAGTTTAAAAGAGGAAATTTCAGCTAAAAAAAAAAAAAAAAACCTTTAACATCAAAAATTAGTTTTTGATGGTGTTTTCAGCATTTAATCCTCTGTAGTGATTAACTTTTCAGACTCCTTCAGGCTTGGCTATACTTTAATTGTTCTGCTCCTAAAACAAATGTGTTTAATTGGTCTTTCATGATCTCCACTAACATCGTTATTGCTAATAAACCAAAAAAAAATGTTACCAAGGTTTGGTTCACTTCATGTCTCTGAACACAATCTGTGCTCAAAAGTTCATAAGATTGTTTTAAAAACGGTTCATCAGTCCTTTCTCTGTACACTCACACACAAAATACAGAAAAAAATATGTTTTAACAAACCCAAACCTATTGTACAAATTTGTGTGACATAACTGTCTTTTCTTTTAGTTGTCTGTATTTCTCAACAAGACTGAGGGGAACGTGTTCATATTATCACACATTCAGGTTGGAGTTTATTTTTAAGACAAAAGGCAGACATTTAAAAATGAGGTAACCTCACATTTCATCTCATTACCAGTCACTACTCTGGCTTTATTCACTACCTGATTACCCACTGTACCTGAAGGCTTTATTCAGGTACAGTGGGTAATTAGTTAGTAGTTTTTGTTCCAGTTCAGTAGATCACAATCTGAAGACAAAGATTGGTATTTACGTGCAAGTTTCTTTTAAAATACAATTTAGGTAGTTTATAATTTCCCTATGAGTCTGTTTTAAAATGTGTTAGTCACTAACTGCTTAGTTTTGTAGGGTAAACTTTAAAGGTTAAAGGTCAAAATGGTTTCACATGCAGCTGATTTAAATCTTGGCCTGATAAAGCATCTTGTGCATGTTTTGGGTTAGTGCTCTGTCAGTGTCAAATAAAGCCAAGTCTGCAAATAATTAAAGGTATTGTCTTTTATCGCACGTTTCTCTCTCTCTGAAATTGCCATTATTATTTCCAATCCAGGAAGTTTAACTTTTGATTTTCTAAAGCTTAAATTCAGTGAACGACAGATGACTTTGTGATTTTTGAACTGTAGTTTGTAATAAACTTCCAGGAGCTGATGATCTACTCCCTGATAAACTTTCCAAAAGTTTATGTCTAGTAGCTGAGGCTTTAGGTATTTGCCACAAAATATTGATTACTGAAATAATATTTTAACATATGAAACGTGATCATTCACTGACTTTAATTCAAATACTTCTCTTTAATTTAATCTAATTTAATCATTTGAACAACACCTCATGAATTACATTTCAAAAAATGAAATTACATTTGAAAAAACACATTTGAAATAACAGAATTGCATTAAGCCAAGGTGGAAGTGACCAAAGTGGAACCTCTTATCTGTATCGACCATCAAAGTTACTCTTTCCGGGTCACAGGTCGGTGAAATATAAAAATGGATCAAATGAAGTTATGGGGCATTTTACAAATGTTTTGATTTTTGATGTGAGAACAAAGTGAAAATGCAAAAAAGCATGGCTGTAAAATGTTCATTTACACCTCAGGGCCACCATCAACATGAGACTAAAATATGAAAAATATTTGAAGTCTGTTGCTTCATAATTAAAAATTTGTTGTAGCTGTAGCTTCTACTTTATGCCATTGTAGAATGCAGATGTGCTCCACTGATTGACCTTTGACCCTTGGGTCATGTTCCAGGCTCACTATAAACTGTATTCTTTAGTTACCTTTGACTTGAGTAATGTCTGTTTTCACAAATTCACCGTCCTTGGACTCAGCTACAGCATGTTTACTCTTGATCTTTTAAGAAAGAAAAAATAAAATCATTAATGAAGTTTTTGTTTGATTATGACCGGTGTGAACATGAATATTTGCAATCACTTTAATAAAATGGTGTGAAATGTTTTAACACTGTTCTGCTTTGTAGAAAATAACTTTTCCTTGAGAGACACCTGTGTTTTTGAGCCTTAATCTGTCAGAGGAGAGCCATATTAGTTCCCCAAAACACTTCTGAGAGCAGAGTTCAAAGACACATTTCAGTTTCTTTCCCATCCTGACGTGTTCATCTAATGTCCAGCTTGTTTATTCCTGAGCAAAGAAAACGAGATCAAGCCAACAAAGTTAAGTCAGGTCCTCTGTTTCTTTGAGTTGAAACGTTTCATCTCATCCAAGAGACTTCTTCAGTCTGGGGAGCCACAACAAACTCAGTCTTTTAAGTAGCACATGCACATAGTGGGCCAACCAGTTTGGTGGTGATAAGATGGTTTCTGGAGGCTGAAGAGAAGACTGAAGAAGTCTCTTGGCTGAGAGATTAAACATTTCAGCAGAAAAAAACTGTCCAGAATCAATATCCTGATGCATGCTCAATAATCCAGGTAGAAAAATCTAAAAAAGTTAAATCTGGTTTTCTGGACATTCAAAGAAACCAAAAACAAAGCAAAACAACAAAAAAAATGTAGAAACGTTTCGTCTCTCATCCGAGAGACTTCCTCAGTCTGAGGGTGAATAAGTTGTTGCTGGTCAGTAAACTGATGTGCTGGTGCCCCCTTTAATGACTCTAAAACAAATAAGTGTAGTAAAATGAGGATCAAGTGTCATCCTTCCTCTATTTACTCATATCCTACACTATTCATTTTGTTTATATAGCACCAAGTCACAACAGGTTATCTCTGTGCACTGAACGAACATTATAAATCCCAGTTGGTAACGTTATCTAAGAAAGCTATTTACTTCCTTAAGTTTGCTCCGTAACAATTTCTGTTAGCATAGTTCCAGTAACTATGGAAGAGCAGTTTTTCTCAGACGTTTTCAGCTAAAAGTGCAAGTCAGCTGAGGTTGATCACCCACACACCTTATCAGCTGAAACACTGTCCCCTGAAGCAGTCACAGTGACTTTGGGCAGTGTCTGGCCTGGCTAGTCCTCTCCATGTGGTGTGTCCTGGTCTCATCCACCAGCAAATCCCTGGAAAGATGAGTGAACTTGTGCTCTCAAACTGACCAGTAAGGAGCTGAAACTGATGATGCAATTTTTGGTTTAGCTGATGCAACTTGACAATTTTCTGGCTTGCAGTGATAATAATTAACTTGATCTGGTCACATTAAATGACATCCCAACCAAATTCCAAAGTAAACCATTAACTACTGTAGTTAAAATGTGTAAATTTGTGCGTGTATGAAAGCCAAAATAATTTATGCTCCGCTAATTGTGCTTGGATAAAAACTTAATCCTTGTTTGAATTTTTCAGTTATAATTACCACTTTTTCCAAACAAGTTATTCTCTAACTTATCTATTTAACATTTGTGTTCAATTTTATTGATTGGTTATTTTGTAATACAATTTAAGACATTTGGATGAATATTCATTTAATTTCCTGTAATTAATTCAGTGACTTGAGTTTTTGATTAGTAAAAGGGTGAATAAGTTGTTGCTGGTGCCCACTTTAATGACTCTAAAACAAATAGGTGTAGTAAAATAAGGATCAAGTGTCATCCTTCCTCTATTTACTCATATCCTACACTATTCATTTTGTATTCTACATTAAAATGAAAAAGACTCAATGGAAATATTTTTATTAATAAAATAGTCATTTATACAAGACGGCAATAAAATTTAACAACTAAAAATTGTTTTTCTCACATTTCCCTTTTTTTGTTTTGGCCAAACAAAGCACCCCCACCCACATATTCCCCCTCTGACATGTCTCTGTGTTTTGATCCATTTGTCCTTCAGCACTTCTTGTTCAAACTGTCTCCTGGTTCAGCAGCTGGTGAGAGTAGACAATGTCTTCATAGTGGTATTTCTCTGCTACAGCCATGATCGAGTCGTAGCATCTGATTCTACTCAAAACCTTCAGCTCTTCAGTCACAGCAGACCTGCAGCACAGAGTTTGGTGAACAACAAGAAATATATCTAATTTACTGTAAAGTAGCTGATTTAATGTAATTTGAAGTTGCTTTTGTCTATAAAATAAATTTCTTAGGTGAATGCAAAAACTCTAGGTGTGGGTAGTTTTTCCTTTAAATCCAAAATACAATATGCTATTTAGGATTTTCCTTATTAATTGATTCAACCAAAAATTTAGGATGGAGGTTATTTTTTCTGTTCATTTTACAACAAGTGAGCAGTCTTCAATCAGAAGAGCTTTGATTTTTACAGAAGAGTATGCAGTTTCATTACCTGGTGTTTGGATCTTGGGGAGGCTCCTGTTTGCAGATGCTGTGCACTTTTTGAACTATGTAGTTTCTGAAATTCTGGAGTTGGGGCAAAGAAACGCTCTCGTCTATGAACCAAGTAAGAGGCAAACAATCTGCAATCTGAAGAGAGATGAAGAGGTGCAAGGTTACTAATAAAGAAACTGATTACAAGAATAATACTGAATTGTTAAGCTCAATACAAATTACACCAATATTACACAGATTCTACACTCCCAAGGACTATTTTAAATACCTTTTTGCATGCACAGGCAGCGCTCCTGCTGGATAGTGTTTGGCTACACAAGGTAATCATCAGGTATCGATTCAGAAGTTTGTCCAACATTAGTTCTTTCAAAACTGGTTCAGGAAGCAGCAGATCCCACTTTCCCATGTTTTCTAGTAGCTAGCAGAAACACAATATGACACTGATTAAAAGACGCCTTCACTCTGTATTACTGCAAAGACTTGAACAAGTTCAGATAATTTTTAGGCGGTACTTTTACAGCTGTCCAGAACTGCTCGTCTCTGAAGCGACGCTGAGAGGAAGATCTGTCTTCTAAAAACCTTGACAGGCAAGAAAATTGTATTAATAAGACTGTCAGACGATAAACATACATTTGAACACAAAAGTACAAACGTATGTGGGCAGTTTTCAAAAACCAATGAGAGAATAAAGATGGTGATAATTGTGCAAAAAAGCAATTACATGGGTATGAATCTGCAAAGGCAAGATGATGAGAATTAAATGTTTTCACACAGACATTCAATAAGTCTTAACATTTAATAAACATAACTACACACTAACCTTTTAGGATACAGGGGGATAAAAACATCTTCATCTACACAGCTCCTCATCCTGCAGCCCACAGCCTCAATGAAACCCTGTATGAGACAAATCCATGCAGTAAATATAATTTATCTGACTTTAAACTAAAACCTATATTTGCACAATATTTTATGTTTGTATACAGACAGAATATATGTACCTCAAAGTTTAAGCAAACAGAAGCTGTAGTAGAATTGCTCACAGTGCTATTGTTAGCTTGGTGACCGTATTTGCCTTTACCTTGACTGGTTTACTCTGCTCTCCCACAAAGATGGAGTAATCCTCCTTCAGTCTGTGACAAACACCAGACAGGCAGGCCGACTGTTGGTGGGACATGGGGTCCCACACCAGTTCAACAAAAGCTGCACAAACACACAAAATGACTCATTTGTAGTTAAAAACTATGCTAACGATCAAACAGCCCAAAGGGTTTCATCACCTACAGTGCAAGTAAAACATTTGAATACAAAATTATACATTTAAGTACTGTCAGAATTTTAATCAACACTACTTGTATTAAAGCCCATTTGAAAAGTTAATTTACTTTATACAAGCTTTTTAAAGCAAATGTTGAGCCTTTTCTTTCAAGAGTTGAATTCAAGTGATACCATTTGGGATTCCGATAGTAAATAACTTTGACAGCACATAAAATTAGTTAACAGCAGTGTGCAGAGGGATTGGTTAAAGAGGAGTGCAACAAATATTAAAGCATTTTCCAACAATTTTCAGTCAGGTCATCTGGACAGTTTCTTTTTTTTGGTTTTGAATGAGTTTGACACGACTGTTGACGAGGAAGAGGGCCGGCACAAGAGGAGGGGGCGTGCCAAAGACACCATCTTAGCACCAACATAACTGGTTTGTTCCACTTTGGAGTAAGTTGTTTGGGGGAAGAATCAGTTTTGTGTTGTGTGTTTCCTTGACTGATGAAGCCTTCTGGATGGAAGGTGAAACATTTCAGAAAAAAAAAAAAGATACTGTCCAGATGACTTGACTGAAAATTGTTGGATTGTACACCTGGATTATTGAGCACGGACTATTTTTGATTAAAGCATTTTGTTACTTAAGCAGGCAGTGAAAAAGAGAAAGTAAAACAGACTTTTGTGGAAGAAGTGATTCCTTTGGTATGTACTATATTTGACATCCTAAATTCTCTGAGCTAAGGTTTTATGCATCCTTAAACTGTTCATTGTGATTGGATTATGTTCACACAAAGACAAACAAAACCATAACCTAAAGCAGTTTTAGTGATTAGCTGCCTTCTAAAACACCACCTTAGATTTAGCTCAGAAATAAATAAAAAACAAAAAGCAAACTACATTGTAGTTTTTCCTTTCCATGATTAAAACAGCTCACTTAAGTGTATGATAATTGTATCTGTCCTGTAAACTACAGCTTCAATCAGCCCTTATTATCCTTTGATGCCCTCATCTACTGCGTGTTTTGATTTAATTTGTGTGGACAAGTACAAGTGAAAGTCAAAGCATGTGTGGTGAAAGAGAGTGCATGTTACCAGCTATTTTGGGGAGGAGGCATTTTTCTATGACATTAGACAGCGTCTGCCTGTCTGTGTGCTCGAGCTCATCGTGGTCGTGGCCATGACAAAACGTCTCCACTGCTGTGAACCATGGGTGGTTTTCAAATTCTCCACAGACATCCTGAGACACAACATATACACATCATGAATGTGTAAAAAACAAGCTTTGTGTGGTCAAAGAGGCCTAAGGGTTTCACCACATATAGTTTTAAACTTTTACTTTTAAAGGGTTCCATCCCAGCAGCTGATGTCTAATGATGGGGTTCAGCAACTTGGGCAAACACAGAGAGATGTACGCGTTGTGGTAGGACTCCGAGTAGGATCGTCTCCATTCTTCAAAGCGAGACAGAATCTTTTTTACATTGCAGAAGTCGTCTTGGACATCAGAAAACACCGTCTGGGACCTCAAGTGGATGTCAGCTAACAAGTAGAGGGCCAAAAGTGAGACAAGTGAACATGAGCTCTCACAGTCTAGTGTTTTATTTATTTTGTTGAACAATTGATTGATTGATTGATTGATTGATTTTTATTGTCAATTCTGCATATGTACAGGACATACATAGAAATTGAAATTGCGTTACACTCCTACTCAAATTGCAGCAAACAACAACATTAGCAAAAATAAACTAACACAACTAGTTATATAAAAAAATATAAAAAAATATAAAAGTGAACAGCAGCAGGACCTCTGATGCAACGTGCTCAATAGTGACTAACAGGAGACAAAGGGACGCTGACTGAAGACAATAACATGATGAGAGGTAGATAATGGATGTGCAAGGCCAGAGTAAACAATAGTGCAATATAAAGTATAAACCTGAGAAACTTAGTAAAGTGAAGGTGTGCATACCGGTTCTATATAGAGTTACAGTTATGTACTGATGAGGTGATTATGTGGAAATGACAATACCAGAATTACCAGAATAAAGAATAAACAGGACGAGTTGATCATAAATGAAAGCCAAAACCCAAAAAATATGAAAAAATAATGCGTGCAACTGAAATTATAAAATGAGGCACATTCAAAATACATGACATGTCAATTTAACAATACATTCAAGGGTTTAAGGCTGCTGTTTTCAAGCATTAAATAAATTTGAAGTTCATACTTAAACTAGGATGGCAAATTGCATTTTTAGCACACTTCGCAGTGTCATGCACTGTCGGTGTGATAAAAGAAAAACGTGTAATCTGAGGCTCAGAAACAAAGAAGGAACAGATTTAATTATACCTCACCTATTTTTTTCTGCAGCTGCTCCTCCTCTTCTGAAGAAGCTTTTGTGTCCTTATGTAACTCAAAGTCATCCTCTGTATAAAGGCTGGTTTTGCTGTAATTTATATTAACAAAAAAATCAAGCAGCTGGAACCTCAGACTCACAGAATGCATTTATTGCAATACAAAACAGCAGAAAACAATTAAAAAAAGAAAAAGAATTGGGAATATATTTTATTGCACTCACCTCTGTACGTCAGTTTCCTTGGCTGAGCTGCCGTTCTGCTCATCTGTGTTATCTGCAAAGTAACATCAAGTTAATGGTTTTAAACCAGAGATTATTTCCTGATGCAAACTGCAGCGTCTTTTGTAACCCAGAAGAATACAAAGCCAACTCACAGCTGAGCTGCTGCAGGCTCTCAGCCTGCTCCTGAATCCGCTTTCGTCTTTGAGCCAACAGCGCCTCCGTGTGGTCAGACAACAGAGTGTGCAACTCCAGTTCCAAAGAATTGATTTCAACAATCTAAAAGTTAAAAAAAATGTTTATCAGTACAGCATTTCAAAATAAGCATGGATCAACTATAGTTTAGAAGTAAAATACAAACAATAAAATGTCAAAGTGAAACATAAAATGCTGTATAAATTAAACTTTATGCACAGTAAACAACTTGTATGTAGTGTCTGCAACTAAAACATTAATAGGCTAAAATAAGACTGTGGAGCTTTTTATTACAAACATTCTGTCCTATGTGCATTTATTTTAGACTAGTGTCATGTTCTATCTATATCTTGAATAAATATTTGACTTGGATGCGTTTACATGAAAAGTTAGTTAACAGGAAATAAATTGAGTGTTTATTAAACTCCGACCTTCTCCCGCAGACACTCCACCAGGTTGTGGACATAAAGGGTCGTGGTTCTGTAAAACTTGAGCTGGTTCTCCGAGGAAGTTTCCTCCAGTATCTCCAAGGAGGATTTAGCATTCTCAACATCTCCCTCCATTCTCCTCAGGTCTGCCTGCCATGCTCTGTGCACCTCCTTCAGCGAGTCCAGTCTAGAAACAAAAGCAAAGGCAAGAATAAAAATGGCACTGAAGTTTGAACATGTGTAGTGGTTATTATAATCATTTAAAACAATTATCATTGCTGCAGGCAGCACGGTGGCACAACTGGTAGAGCTGCTGCTGCCTCTCAGCGAGCAGGTCTCTGGTTCAAATCCCGGTCCAGGGGCCTTTCTGGGTGGAGTTTGCATGTTCTCTCCATGCATACGTAGGTTTTCTCCGGGTACTCCGGTTTCCTCCCACAGACCAAAAACATGTATGTTAGGCTGATTGGTAACTCTAAATTGTCCCTAGGAGTAAGAGAGTGAATGTTTTTTTTGTCTCTGTGTCCCTGTGATGGACTGGAGACCAGTCCAGGGTGTCCCCCGCCCCTCGCACAGTGATTGCTGGACATGGGAACTGGCGTCCCCCGTGACCCAAAATGGAAGAAGCAGGTAAAAGATAATGAATGGATATCATTACTGCAATGTTAACAGTTCTATGCCAAGTTTACCTGTCTCAGACGAGCTGTCAGGCAGTGATTTTCTGAAATACGCATTTCATTTTACCGTAGTTGTAATAATTATTGCATTATTTTCAAAAATGTGTATTCTAAGTTACTCAATATGTATTTACTGTAGCTTCACTTCTCACAATTAAACGTTCAAAGAACTTGCCACAGTGTCACTTCAGCATTTTAAGGTTTTTACATGAAATTTTTACGTTTAATTTTTTTTAAATATTGTGGTCCAAATGCAAGATACTAACTTTCCAGTGATTCTTCTCTTAATCATCGAGACCGAAACAGGAGGAGTCATCTTTGGGACTATGAGTCCTGCTGATCTCTTCTTATGTGCTCTTCTGGATTGCCTGCTGCTCCTACTGCAGCTGCTGGCCTCACTGCCAGATGGACTCTAATGAAGGGGGAAAAAGTATGCATGTAAACACGTACACATGTGCACTGCACATACACAGACAAAAAGAGAGACTACACTACAAAGGGCTTTCAGAAAATATATATATAGTAGTCCCTCGTTTATCGCACGAGATCCGTACCCTGATTGCCCCGCAATAAGTGAAAAACTGCAAAGTAGGGATAGAGTAGTTCAAGTTCAAGTTCAGTAAACTTTCTCATGACATGTGACAGACTGTAATCAAACTCGCTCATCACCTGTTACTCCCAATCTCCCTCCTTAAATAAAAAAATTAACTTTAAATACTGTAACATTTTAAATAAACAATCCATGCAGCATGGACTTTTTAAATTTAAAATATTACAGTATTTAAATTTAAATTGTGGAGAAGTGCAGGAGGACATCAAAGGGTTATAACCTTTCACACAGCTCAGCAGCACAGAGCAGAAATGTACTTTTCGATCAATTACACTTCAACAACTGAACATAGAAGTTCTAAAATAATTAAAAATAACTTTCAACACTTTTATATTTTGTGATTATGACGATTTTACGATGTAATATACTTTGAATTTTAAGTTGGAAGACAAAAGTCGATCGGTGCATCTGGACAGCAAAGGGTTAACCCTTCACAAAGCTGATGTAGCAGGAGAAATGTGTGTGACAGAGAAGGAGATCATGACAGGCTGTAGGAAGGAGCTTCCCCCTGCACTTGTGGGCTGCACACATGTGCAATTTAAAATAATTTATTTTAAATAAACAATCCATGGCTCATCTATCAGTCAGACAATTGCATCATGTCCAATCTTACGGTACTTTGAAAAACCACAATATAGTGAATCTGCCAAAAACGAACCATGTAGTAGCAAGGGACTACTGTTTTTTTTTTTTCCTTTCCGCTACTCCCTTCTTCAGGGGTCGCCACAGTGAACTAACACGCAAGAAGACTTGGCAATTGTTTTTTTACACCAGATGCCTTCCTGACACAACCACAGACCACCGAGCTACCACAGCCCTCTGTGTGAAGCAGAGAGCTGCTATCTAGGGCATCCAGCAGAGCAGATGGTGGGGGTTAAGTGCCTTGCTCAAGGGCCCAGAGTGGGGCAAATGAGGGGATGAGGCAGGTGTGAATGCTTCACCTTTCCCACCCACATTTTGATGTTGTCAGTCTGGGGAGTTGAACCTGTGACCTTCTGATCACAGGCCCACCTTCCCTAACCTCTGCACCACCACTCCCCCAAACCTACATAATGACCCAAATAACTAAACAAGAAAGGACTCCAATTGAAAGGTGAAATATAACTCCAAACAAAAAGAAGAAAATCCACAACAAAACATAAAAAAGTATAAATATATAAATAAAAGGATCACAATTTTTAGTAGGCCTTCCAACCTGCTCTCCTGGTCGTCTCTTCACTCCTTTTTCAATTTGAGTTTGCTCCCAAAGCTCCTGCTCCTCCGCATCAGTGCTTGAAAGACTGCCATCACTTCCTCCTGACTCACAAAAAATAGAGATTATGTGTTTTATTCCCAGTTTTAAAAAAATGACCGGGTTTAAAACAAAACAGAATTATTCACACAGGCAAAATATGAGAAGCTTTTTAAGTCTAAAGAATTTTTTTTTTCTAATTTGCCTTATGATTGGAAATGTTTTAATTCCTCTTGAAGTGAACAGACACTGCACGTTTCAGCTCTTCGTTAAATCTGACTTTTTATATTTTAACACAATTTCTTTTTAATCACAAGTACAGAATAATGTATGAATTTTAAAAAACAGGGCATTACACAAAGAGTTCTAAGTGAATTTAACGAAAATATTTTTTTTCATCCGTCCCACTCAT